GTATCACATTGTGTATCTTTGTGATTAATTGGTACCTAACGGAATAATATTGGCCGGAGGCCGGAGATTGGAGGTCGGAGAGAGGAGAGATGAGTTTTTTAAAAATACCTAAAATGCCCTCTAATTATAATTTTAACTTAAAATACCATAATTACTAATTTCCTTATTTATCCGTTGATTTGTGGTTAAGATTGGTTCTCACAGTTACCACAAACTAATCAGTTCTCCCTTGAATAGGCGCATATATATATATATATATATATATATTAAATTTTATAATATTTTCAAATTTATATTTTATTCAAAAATAAAAACATTATCGCATTCTCAAAACATAAAACCATATTATATCGACATAAAAAAAGAATAAAATAAAACAATGTAAACAATATGCGTTTCGATGCATTGCACGAGTATCATTCTAGTTTATAATAAACAATTAGTTTCCAATTTTCCTTTTTGATTTATTTTGTTTTCAAGTACTTTCTTTCTCATAATTACCGTATTAAACCTCTAATTATTCTTTTTCTATTGGGATAGGGTACAAATATAAAATACAGTTAAACAATCTGATACATGTAAATAAATACCGAGCACTATAACCTATTGATAATTTTTGTCACAAATCTACTCTTTAAGGTAATATTATCGAAAAAAACATCCCTATAAGTCAACTTAAATCAAACCACTTCACAGACAATTTTAAATACATGTTCGAATTCATGTATGTACCATAAAAAAAATATTGTTGAATGTACTGGTTCGTACAAATTTATCTTGAAACATAATACTGCCCATAAGCCTTATTTGCGTCCATATCATCAACCTCCTTCCCTGTTTTCGTATATAACAGAACACTTTTATAGAATATAATCACCGAAAGTAACAGGGCATTAACAAGTCAAAATATGGATATTCATAATCTGAATTGTACATGGAAGTCGACAGATTTTCTTGATAAAGGATGGATCATAACTTTTTCCCGAAGTAAATAGATATTATAAAAAGAAGGGGAACGTCATCTTGGAAGGGATATATGAACTGTCGTCGAGGAGAAGACTGAGTGGGGGGGTGACGGAATCGAAGTATGAAAAGTCAGAGGAAGGTGTATGAACCGAAATCTGAAAAAGGGACTGAAATCAGAGTTTGAAAAGCACATGAAGAGACAATTAGAAAAAGACGTGCATAGATTACTTGTACGTTGTGTTTAAATAATTGTAATTAAGAGATTCTGAATCTCCAGCTTTTAACCCCATGCGTTAAGAGTTGTTTTTAAAACTTTCGTAAATTTACTTTATAAGATAGTATAGATAGAGATAACAGAAAATTCAAATTTTATTTAAATTTTTATTTATTAACCTAGATATTCAACCCGCTATGCGAGCCGACTAATCCCAGAACGACCACCCGTGCATTTGAACCTCCGTGGCTACAAGGAGATTTTTATTCCTCCTTGGATTTGAACCTAGACCTCCAAATATTTTTGACCTTTGCAGTCCAAACTCAAACCAATCGGACACCATCTTTTTGTAATTTACTATTTTCTTAATATAATATGAGTTATTCATAAGAGAAAATTTGAGGCCTTCTATATTAACAATGGAGGTTCAAAACTCCAATGGAAGCAAAACCAAACCAAACCGACCATTTATATCCAATGAAGAACCTACGTAAGGGCATACGGTGGCACATGTCACCGTTTTATAACTCTGTCGTAACGGGGAAAAAGTTACATTCTTGAATATGCCACCATAATGTTTCGTTATATGTCCCTATTTAAGCTAGTTGAGTTAGTTTATGGAGCATAATAAAAAACGTGCTTTCAATATAGCAGGGACGGACCTACAGTGGTGTTGCATATGGTGGCACGTGCCATTGTATTATTCCTCCATCGAAGGGTACAAATTTTTAAGTTTGTGAAATGTGCAACCGTATTAATTTGTTGTGTGCTATTGTATGTATTTTGAAACAACAATAAGAACAAGTTTTATTTGATAGAGTTGGTTTGCAAGGCTTTTATTCCTCTCAGACCCGAATCGTTGAGTAATCTGGTAATTTCCCATACATCAACTCATAAGGCAGTCTTGTATTTGAGCACTTTGGAAGAAATTCTGCTGTTTTAACACATTCAGACCAGTAGCATAAAGGAACCATTGACTGGAAGAATAGAGCTCTAGATACATTTAAAAGATGTTAGATGTTTTTTTTTATTAACCTGAATATCCAACCCGCTATACGAGCCGACTAATACCAGGGCGACCACCTGCTTTGCAGATAGCCCAGAGTCACCGCATTTGAACATTCGTGGCCACAAGGAGATTTTTATTCCTCATTGGATTTGAACTTGGGACCTCCTGGTACTTTTGACCTTTGGAGCCAAGCTCAAACCAATCAGGCACCACCCACTGAGTTCTGTTCAGGCCTTTCAACACATGATTTTTGACGGATCACTCCATTATCAGCAAAGAATTGACGAAGATCAAACTCCTTCGTATCATTTGTACGTATGCTACGTATTCTCTTGCCGCATTGGGTTTCAATCATTGCATAGAATTGAGGAATCACAACGAACAAGATCAAACGCCTCCTTTGACATGATTCAGACATACAAACAGTACCCGTTTACGTTTGGCTAACAGACAAACCATACATGGATCAAGATTATCAGCCAAAGAGTGCTTATTAGTAGCTAAAACCGACTGTAAAACATCTAAAACTTCGCTTGAAGGATGACCAAGCCTTTTGTGCCACTTTTCTATAGAAACATATCAACTTGTGGCCACGGGGGTTCAGATGCAGTGACTCCGGGCTATCTCAAAAGCAGGTGGTCGCCCTGGGATTAATCAGCTCGCATAACGGGTTGGATATCCAGGCTAATAAAAAAAAACACAAATCTTAAATTTATAACAGCTACAACCACATAAAAGAGAAACAATAACAACAATGTGATCATAGTATTGCAAACTCTCATTAGATTTCATGAAGAAGTTAGCAAAATTCAATTCTTTTTGCTACAGAATTTGTAAACTAATACAAACACACGTGAATTCAACGTCTAAACATTACAAAGAAACCAGACTAGAAAACTAATATCACAATCCTAGAAAAAACTATAATTAGAACTAAAATCGTTACAAATGATTAGTGGACGGACGTTGGTCATAAACATGGTAGGTTTTCCATCGATTGCAAAAAATTGGAGGTCGAGTATATGGCTGCTGCAGCAGCTTGTACAGCTAAATCCTTGTATGGGTTTGTTTCCATCTTTAGATGTCTGTATGACAACATAAACAATATCAGATTTTGACCATGTTAACGTTGGAAATCGATGAAATCCCATGAGAGTGGTTAGCATTTGATATCTTTGTATCTAGCCCATTTGTTAACGACAATGATTCTTGTGAATATGCAAAAAGAACCATGATGTAAACCAAACGAATGAACCTAGTATATCTCACTCGAAGGTAAGATCTCGGAGCAAGTCCTCTACTTCAAAGGGTAGAGCGGTTGTTTCCCGGAAGACCCCCTACTTGTGCAAAAGTGTGAGCGAAACGAAAAGAAGAACCAAGACTGGCTAGTACTCCCTCCGTCCCAAAATAAACGTCCACAATGAAAAATATACACAATTTTAGAAACGTATAATTGTGACACTTTTAATCAACTAAATGACTATCCTACCTTTAATAATAGAGAGGGAAATTTTACCCATCTCATAGTTAAGGGTAGAATGGGAAAAGTAGAAACTTTTTTTAAGACAAACTAATATAGAAACGTGGACACTTATCATGGGGCACTTGGGAGTAAAATAACCCATTCAAACTTTTAAATTGAGATGATCCAACAGATATGATTAAAAAGGTGATTATAGCAACTTTTTTTAATAAACAAAAATAACTCACCCTATTTTTTAAATCGAACGGCAAAATATAACAATAAGTTGAGCGAAACAAATTACATAAAAAACAATCACTTTATTATCTTTAATTTGACTTCCATTTTGATATATTTTTTTCGTCCGTTTCTTCATGGTTTTTCAGTTCTTTATTTTCAGGGTTCTCTCCAGATCTTTTCCCTATGTATATACCCACGCATATACATATTACGTATAAAAACATATATATGCATTGTAAGTATAAGGTTGGGCTCCGATGAGAAAGAAAGTTAAGGTGAAAAGAGTAAGAAGGGATCTCCACCCTTGGATGCACATTAGGATGAGATGCACCGGATCAATCCCCATATCATGCGCGATTCATGGATTGGTTTGAGATTAAAGGTGATCAAAGGTCCAAATCCCTTCTTACGCTTCTCACCTTAACTCTCCTCACACGATCCTTCCCTGTAAGTATACTGGTTATATTCATATAGAGAAGATGGATTGGTAGTGATTTAGTAATGTATGCTTCTTCCACCATGAGTCTAGTCATTTTCCCTTTGTGGGCCCCATCTCCAATTTCATATCTTGTGTTTTGGCAAAGGAGATTTTCATTTGATGATCAAATAACTTGAAATAAGACCAAGTGATCACCTGTAGTCGCTGCTGCTGCGCTGTTGCAGGTCGTTTTCTGAACGGAATTGGAGAAGACCATGTCCACAATGCACCATCATTTCGTTTACTTGATTCAACGAGCTCTCCTGGAAAGTATCAGGTTGAAAGACAACAAGGTTAGAACACTCAAAAACTAGAAAAAAAACTAGATGATGTACCACTTCTTGTTCATTGTAAATCTTGCTAAATGTATGCTTTTAGTCCACTTTTTATCGCACGCCTCTTAGATAATTCATATATGTAAAGCGTGAAAAGCGTTATCTTAACTCACCAGATGTTTCTCTTCTTCAGAGAGTGCATTATCCATCTGATCAAAAAGAGTGCCCCATCTCACCCGATGCAACTCAGCAGTTCCTTTGTTGAAGTGACCATTTTCAGCATAGCAATCGTTTTCTTGATCAGAAACCAACTCTCGTGATACCAATGAAGGCAGTTCTGTTTGGATTACAGATCGAACTCTTTTCTTGCTACGCCTTAATGCTGCAAGAACAACATCAACAAGATTATTCATGTAGACATAGCAATATTGAATCTTAACTAAAAGCATGATATCAAGAACAGCAGCATTACCTGCAAGACGACCTTTGATGTCCTGATGAAGAAGTTCTAACCATTGAGAAGCTACACTTGCAGCTGCAAAATTACAATAATACCCACTGCATGTCATGATCAGATTTGAACTGGAGTCGCATAATCTTGAACAGAAATCGCCCAAAATCTGGCAAAAGTTCTTTTTTTTTTTTTTTAACTTTCTGGGTTATCCATTACTTGTTCTAGTTGTAAATATTGGCAGAAGGGCATTACATGTATCAATAATTGAATACAGTAATACCCACAATCTGTCATGGTGAGCTTTGAACTGGGGTCCCATAATCTTGAACAGAAATTGCCAAAAATAAGGCAAACAAGATTTGCAAACAAGATTTCTTTATCTTTCTTGGTTTCCAATTACATATTCTAGCACTAGATATAGGCAGAAGGGTATAACAGGTATCAATAATTGAATACATTAATACCCACAATATGTTATGATCAATTTTGATAAATCTTGGATCCTTCAAACTTCAAATAAAATTGCCTGAAAATTAGCATTTTATTCTAGTAATGCAGTAGGCAGAAGGATCTGGTGGATTTCAAACGATTTCGTTAGTCACTAGCATAGTCAACCAGATTTTATGAAAGTGGCTTCCGTATATTGGGAAAATGCATCAGATCATAAGATGTTGAAATTGAGAACTTACCTTTAAAAGAGAGGGAGTTGACAGTTGAGATGTTTCCCGATTCTTCATTGGACAAAGAGCTCAAATTCGCCGATGTAATGGTTGCTGATGATGACAGTTTCAGGGCAAGTCTATCGTCCTCACATTCTAAGTTGATATATGAAGGATGATGGCTCGTTTTAACGATTGCTTCTCTATCATTGTGTCCTCTAGGTTCATCTGATTGACACCCATAAGAAGGATTCCAGACCCCATTTTCTAAATCCGTATGGTCATAACTTTCTTTCCCGGTTGCAGGCTTGCTTCCACCCTGTTTGTTTTCAGTTTTTGCAGATCTCACAAGATTCTCTATTATAGAATGAACCTGTTTTCGGTTTCTTACATGATTTATAATCCCAGGATTCAATTCATTCAGAAGTCCACTTGGAGCAGCCACTTTAGCAAATCTGTCCACTTGTTCTTTCTTTGCAATCTCTATCTTTTTCTTGATCACCGACTCATTCCCTCTTTTCCGCCCACGTGATTTTGGTATCGGTGGAACTGGCACGCCTCCGTGAGAAGATGATAGAAACCCATTTTGTTTCATTTCTTTCCAAACTTTCATAGAGTCTTTTTCTCCCCCCAAATGACATGAACTCCCACATTCTGATGAAGCATCACGTGCTTTTAAACGATCGTAATCCTTATACGGATGAAAAGGATCGTGACTGATGGAACTCGAAACATCTTCTGAATTGAGATCAATACCAAAACCACTTGGTTTTACACAATTATTCTTTGATTCCATCTCTTGGGGCTTCTGTAGAGATGATAGTTTGCAGGTGTCTTCAACACATGATGGAGCATCATCCACGGCCAAATGACCCGCACTCGCATTGAGATCAAGTGGTGAAGCAGTAGCAGTTTTTATTTTCCCTAATTGACAAGAAAAATTAAATTAGAATGAAGAATTTCCCAGAAAACTTCACCCATTTCTAATCCAAATCTAGTTCAATTTGCCTAATTGACAAGAGATTTAGATTGAAATTTCAAAAAATCCGAGAAAACTTCACCTATTTCTGATTCAAATCGAGTTCAATTTCCCTAATTTACAAGAAATTTAGATTAAAATTGAAAAAAACCCAGCAAACTTCACCATTTTCTAGTTCAAATCTTGTCCAATTTCCATAATTTACAAGAAATTTAGATTGAAATTTAAAAATTTCCCAGCAAACTTCACCAATTTATCATTCAAATCTAGTCCAAATTTCACAGCTATTTAGCAATTTATCCAATTTCAAACTTGAAATTTGAAATTTTAGATACCATTCAATCAAATCAAGCTCTTCAATTGAAAGAAGATGTAGATGATTTACCTTCAGAACGAAAAACTGACTCCAGGTCTCGTATTTTTGCTCTTTTTGGTCCGAGTGAAGGCGCTTCTTCTTCAAATTCTTCACTGTACCTCTTCTGCATCCACCATTAAAGCAGCAAATATCAACAGAAATCAACCAATTCTATACAAAAATCAATTCAATCAACGATAATTTCACAAATAACGTACAAAAACAAACCTTCGATTCAGATCCGTGTACAATACTACCATCCATCGGTAAGGGGAGGAGGGGGGAAGATTCTTGAAAAAACTCTTCCTTTTTGTAGATAAATTTCTAGAATTATCTGCAAAACCCAGATTCAAGATCGAAAACCCAAGCTTTGATACGTGAAGATGGAATATAATATGGATTGATGGCGTCTAGAATTAGGGTTGAATGTTGACAGGAAAGAGGCGCTAACTGGTAATTAAATGTGGGTTTTGCAAGTAAAGAATTTGATTTGAATTTGCAGAAAAGCGCGCTGACAAGCGTTTTTCCGGTTTTGCTGATTACGATATACAAAAAAACAATATATAACATGTCCATAATATATATATATATATATATATATATATATATATATATAAAGAGAGAGAGAGAGAGAGAGAGGGGAGAGGGGGTTTAGAACTTTTTACATTTATATAATCAATACAATTCAATCTCAATTGTTCATTTAATTTGATAAATATGTGATTTTATAAAAGTTTTGATTGTTTCTTAATATTAAAGTATTGATCATAATTAATGAACCCTACTGATCTTCTATAAATATTTGAATCATAATAAATAAACTCTCATCATTTTCATAAATATCTCAATTGATTGAGTTGCATTAGTTGTACAAATATGATGGTTTGCATTTGAAATGTCATATATATATATATATATATATATATATAATTTTAATATTTCCCATTCCCCTTGGATCAAGATAATTTAGCCGATAACTCCAATTGTGAGATTCGAATTCAAATTGTACAAATGATTCCTTCATGAATGTACAAAATTTTAGAGAATAGAATTTCAAATTCGCATTTTGTATGAAACCCTTCGTTTTGATGATTCTAAGATCAGGGTTTATTGTCATATACATTTTTTTATTAAATACTATGTTGATGAAAAAATATTATGAAACTTACGGTTAGAAGTGGAAAATAATTAAATGGTTGCGTCAAAAGATTTTAGGATAGATTTTTTACTTTGATGTTTGTTGGTAGGGGTATGCAGAAAATCAACCGATCGAATTGAAACCGACCGACCATAATTGGATCGGATTGGACCGAAAATTTCAACATCCAATTTGGATCGACCATTGCAAGAGTGAGCGCAACTATTTCATCTGGTCTGTCTATAGTAACCAATTCCTTTCTTGCGGTATGACTCTTTTTCCCCTCTTAACTCTCAGGAGAGTGCTCCCGCGGAAAGTTTCCACTAATTCTCGGATGGCAGTCTAGAACCGACCAAAGCCGAACTGAACCGATCAGCATCCAATTACCCATCCAATTAATCATCTGATGATAATCCAGTTGTTCATCCAACCATTATCCAACTATCATTTAATTAATTTATTGTCAAATTGCTTAAATCGGAATTCGTTTTATGCGAGCCTTTGAATTTTTAACTTCCCTTGTGTTGGTTTTAACACATATCAAAAATGATTATTCAATTTATATCATTGTTGGAGAATTGGACTGAATTAACACACCGGATGAATCCAATCTCAATGAATCATCTATTTGATATCCAATGGATGGAACCGAACTAATCCAATCAAAAATAAATATTTTAAATTTGGTTTTATAATAATTGATTTTTATTATAATCTAGCCGGAAATGAAAGGGTTAGTTTCTAGTGAGAATGAGGGTTAACGCGAGAAACGTAGGAGAAGATCTCCGTCTTTGAATACATATTAGAATAAGATACATCAAGGTGCCCGTTTACCAAACGCTTACTCGGGTAAGCGCTTACCAATTCACTTTACTTTACCGCATAAATATGGCAAGTACTAAAAATCTTACTCGATAAGAACAAAAGCAAGAATCGAGAGTCTTATCCGGTAAGTGAGGACGATGACTCTTACCATGGTTAGCGCTTACAGGGATAAATTGTTGCATACGGTCCGTTTTAGTGAATAAAATCTTACTTGGGTAAGCGCTTAATCACTTTACTTTACCGGATGAATATGACAAGTACTAAAAATCTTACTCGATAAGAACGAAAGCAAGAATCGAGAGTCTTATCCGGTAAGTGAGGACGATGACTCTTACCATGGTTAGCGCTTACCGAGATAAATTGTTGCATACGGTGCGTTTTAGTGAATAAAATCTTACCCGGTAAGTAAACAATAGTGTTGAATTGTACCGATAAGTGTAAACTGGGTAAGTATTTAGGTAAACGGCCCGAATCAATTCTTATATCAAACGTGATTTATTAGTGGGTTTGAGATTTAAGGAACCAAAAAGATTTCATCACTTTATTCATACATGCATGGGTTTCAAATTCAAATTGTGGAGGGCTTTAAATGAGTGGGGCCCAAAAACTCAAATATTGCCACTTCCTTCGGAGAATTCAAGATTTCAAATATAAACGTTTCAAAATTTACAACGGAAACTTACAACATAACGTAGTTAATTCTTTTATTTAAATAAACTTTGTTATTGATGTAATAAAAATTATTTAATATTTTAATTATTTATTAATTGAAAATCAAGAATTGACTATAGTTGACCAGACTATTTTTTTATCATCTTAATATTCTACTCGTTTTGATCCAAGCTTTACGATGTCTAATTTATCCATTTTATTACTTACAACAAATTTATAGAAATGGTTGACGTTAAGTTTGAATCAATTCAAGCACTATTAGAATTGTTTGACAGCTGCTGAATAGTTTGATACAGAATGATTAAGTGGTCAGAATGATTAAGAGACTCTCATGATATAGTACAAAATAAAATATAATTGTTTGATAATTGTTTACAATGAAATTAGAGCGCTGAATGGTTAAGGGACGCTCATGATACAAAATCATTCAGATGGTTATAGAACCATTAAGAGGCAAACAAGATTCACCTCTTAACGATTCAGAGGCTGCCTCTTAATTTTTGTCTTAAGTTAGGGCTATCCAGCCAAAACCTAGAGATTTTGTCCGTTTTCATAAAATATCGTGTTTTTAGGAATTTTATGTAAGGTGTTTGGCAAAACACGGCGAGGCTAGAGTTTGGGATCGAAAAGTTTTTCAATGTTCGAGTTTGAGCCCGAACCCGAAACTCGTTTACGGGCTTGAACTCGAGATTAATTGCCTCGTTCGTTGGATCAACCTCAATAATTTTTATACTCTAATTATATAATTTATGAGCATGTGAACATGTTCGCTCGAAAAAGTATATGCTTGACTGGTCTCAAAAAATTCAATCGAGCTTTCGAACGAGCAAGGTCAATCATTAGTGTTATGGAGCTCGATCTGATAGGTTAAACGAGTTTTAACATGTGTTCGAGATTGAGCCGGGTTCAACAATTCTTAAACTCAAGCTTGAGATAAAAGAATTCGAGCTCGAGTAACTCGTTAAATTGTATGATTTATTTTTATAAGAATTATTCCGGTTTTATAGTTGTTAATTTTTTTTTTCAAATATTTAATTAACTTTATAAATCTTATATGTAACGTTAAAAATGGTACTTTAAAAAACAAATCATGTCAAATTGCGGATAATTCATTGAAAGAAACGAATTTGATGAACTCTCCGAGTTGCTCCTTCGAGTTCCAACGACACAAAATGATATCGATTTGAACCACAAGGGTGGTGCATGATTGATTTGAGCTTGGCTCCAAAGATTAAAAGTACCTGGAGGTCCCAAGTTCAAAACCAAGGAGGAATAAAAATCCCCTTGTGGCTACGGAGGTTCAAATGCGGTGACTCCGGGCTATCTGCAAAGCAGGTAGTCGCGCTGGGATTAGTCGGCTCGCATAGCAGGTTGGATATCCAGGTTAATGAAAAAAATGATATCGATTTGTATAACCTTCAAACCCTGATTCAAATTTCAAAAAATGGCATCAAACTCGATCAAGCAAAAGATTCAAACTCTTACCGACAAAATATTTTGAACTTCACCAGCGTTTCAAGGGTGGTTTTCTGTTAGCTAATACTCGTACTACGCTCCAAGTATTATTGAGTTATAGGGCATGCAGTGCACTAGCCATAGCTTATATTGTCGATCGTAGTTTTTAACTGCTTAATTGTATGTCGTGGGTTCGATTTGAAACGATAGTGCATTAGTGGTAAAACATATAGAGTGGATAATCATAAGATGTATCTAAGCAATAATTAATCAAATTACATCATGCCAAAGATTATTTCTATGGCTTCTTTTTTTTTTTTTATTAACCTGGATATCCAACCCGTTATGTGAGCCGACTAATCCCAGAACGACCACCTGCTTTGCAGATAGTCCGGAGTCATCGCACTTGAACATCTGTGGCTACAAGGGGATTTTTATTCACCATCTTCTTTAAAGGCTTTTAGTGATTCAGATTGGGAATGGTCTACTACTACATTTTGCGTTTTGTGACACCCATAAATATGGAAAGAACGATTAATTTAAAATTTTCGATAAAACATCGAATTAGGAATAAATTCATTTCTAAATGTCAACACTTGATTACCTTTAATGGCAATTTAAGATTTAACATCAACAAATAATAATTTAAACTTTACACAGAGTCTAGATTAAGTATGTGTTACTAAAGCCCGTTAATTGTCACTATCTCCAAGGTAGTGATGGCCAAAAACCGGTCCCGGACCGGGTCCTTACCGGTCCCAGGCCTTAACAGTGCCAGTCATAACCGGTCCCAGGCCTTAACAGTGCCAGTCATAACCGGTCTCTCGGTCGAAAACGAAGAGTCCGGTTAACCTGTCCTATAACCGGTTATAGTAAGCCGGTCCCCCCCCCCATCCCGACCGATTAAAAAAATATTTTTTTTAAAATTTTAAAGATAGAGTTTTTTAATACATTATAAAATTTGTAATCGGGTCACTCAAATACACTTTAAAAAATGTGTTTTATTGTAATTAAAATTACATTGTCTTCCAAAAATACATTATAAAATTATTTGAAAACACACTTATTCATCATCGGTATCCATGTCGCATTGATTTGAAGAGTTCCGGTCTATTGAATTCTTCTAATAGTCTCTTGGTCATGAAGGTCATCAATATCGAGTTCCTCATCATCGTCACATTGTGAGTAAGTGCCGTCAGTATCTGTAGTTGGCGGTGTGCATAGTCCCATGGCGATTTCATTTTCTTCCAAGTTTTCTTCCACCGCTTCAATCTCCACCTCTAACGATGTCGTGTGTTGAATTCTATCAACGCTATCCAGATAATCTTTCATTCAGATGCAACACTCCACAGACTCCGGGCTTAGTCTTGTCCGACATATCGAAAGGATCATGCCACTAAGAGAAAAGGCGGACTTCGAAGATAAGGTGCTAGCTTGGATTGTTAGTATATCACGTGTCATGCATGCCAAAACCGAGAATTGAGGCTGCTTTTGTTTCCAAAAATCTAATAAATCAATTTTTTCAAAATCTTCGACATCATTTGTGAGGCATGCGGCCATAAAGTTAGTATGCACATACATATTTAGTTCATCCAAATCGTTATCAAATCTACTATTTTTACATGATTCATTTAAAACATCGTTCATTAAATTAGTCATCAACTCTTTCCGATTTTGACGATGACCACTATAAGAACTAGAACCGCAAATCCACGACTTGAAGAGCTTTGTTATTGATTTCCTTCCCTATAAAAATGTTTATAATGATCAAATAAATCTTGAAAATTATGATTAAACAAACGTTTTTGTTCCGTTAAAAAAGAATTATCCGTAGTCGTATCTAAACCAAATGTCACACTTATTTGTGTAATTAAAACTTTAACACCAATAACATTTAAATACGGGTTTGATGCCGCAACACAAAGAAAAGCAAATGGGATGCTTATAAAATATTTTAACAATTTCTTTTTCATTGAATTTATCAACCTTCCTCAATCGTGATGGTCCTCGTATTGTGCAATCTTAGTTGCCAAAATATATAATTAGTTTAAAAGTAAAGAGCTTGTTGGATAATAAATATCAAATAAAAGTGTTGTCGTATTTTTGAAATCACCTACAATATCATACAATCCTTCAACCACGGCCCAATCAAGATTTCCGATAGAATTGTAGGAGTAACGGTGTTTATAAAATGAAAAAATATAATTTTTTTTGTTTTATCAAATTTTCCATCATAAAATAAATCGAATTCCATCGAATGGGCATATCGAACCACAATCTCAAACCAATGTCTTCGCAATATTTTCTATATTCCGCATTTATTTTCTTACCCTTTGTGAAAATCCGTCGCAACATAAGTCTAAACATATATTACGGGTTTACAAGTATTTAAATCGTCTTGAACGACTAAATTTATTATGTGTGCACAACGTGTATGAAATAATTTACCATTTTATATAGGTGTCCAGTGACACTTTAATTTTTCTACACATATATTGTTATTACTGGTATTATCAAACGAAACACTAATTATTTTAGTAGTTAAATTATAAAATGCAAGACATTTTTTAATAATTGAAAATTGACATGCACCCGAATGTGGCACACCGAACGGTTCAAACGCGATTACACGTTTGAATAAATGTCACGATTACGGCTCAATTCAATGTGCCGTTATGCATATATAAGAAACCAGCAATTCGAATGTTGCACTTCATACATCACAAGTTCAAGAAATGTTGTTAGGCAAAAGAGAATATTTGTTGCATTTCACCTCGACACATTTTCCACATTTTAATTGCATCATGTCTAAGGGTTTGACGACTTACCGGCTTGTATCGTGATTGTAGTGTTTTTTGGATCAACTTCGTAACATGAGGGTTGTCGAAATGTCCAAAAGGCAACCCAACTTGAATGACATATTGTGTTGTCATTTGTCTGTTCAACTCAGCATCAAACGAGTGAACGGCCATATTTGACCTTCAGTGTCAAGTATCGGTTAGCTTGAACGACCATATTTGATCTTCAGTGTTAAGTATCGGTTGGCTTGAATCGCCCCCGACCTCAACCCCGAAGTCCCGAACAGGTTTTTTCTGTGTGCCACCTTAAAGTAGAATTTCCTCCCGCCGTAAGGAGAACTTGGCACAATTTGCATTGTGTCTTTCTTTTCCCGTTCTAGAGAATCACCAAGTTGTATGAATTCAAAATCTCGGACTTTCGTCCGTGTTCGGCAAAAATTTGGACAACTTGTTCGTTTGATGCATCATGTTGTTCACCGGTCATTTTGTAAGACAAAAAATAAAGAAAATTAAAATTGTGAAGCAGAAGCGAAAAATGTATACGAGTCGAAGTCACAAAATATAGGGACAAACCGAGAATTGTGATCGTTTTTTTGCGTTTTGTAAGTTGGTATATAAATCATTCAACCAAGTTACTTATATATAGGGTTTAGAAGGCAAAAAGACCCAAAAACGGTCATATTAACGGCTACTTTTTTCAAAAAAACGACTCCCTTTTGAAAACTGGGCCGGGTCGGGCTGGTCCCTTGAAACTCTCCAAAACCATAACCGGTCCCGATCTATAACCGGCCTCAGTTCCGGTCCTCCGGCAGTCCCGAGCCGGTTTGGCCATCACTACTCCAAGGTACCAAACACGTCCCCAAATAGCTAATTCTTTCTTGTGCCTCTAACTAATACTCAACTTATCACAATGCCATAGGTATCATTCCTCAACGAGGACCTCATGCATATGTCGACAAATAGAAAAATTAGGCTTTAACATCTAGTGAATTCAAACAGTTTTCATCTTTAATATAATAAATTATTAATTTTGGTAATTTTAAAATAAAAATTAAATAAAAGGTATTATGTGTATTTGTAAATCCCATCTCTACCCCCTCCTCATCTCTCTTATTTCATTCGCCCCTAACACTTTCGACCACCTCCCCGATTGATTTTTATACAACACTATGTAAATGATGTATGTTCACACATTGAAATTGGAACATCTTTCTGAAACATGTGTGCACATTGTCCTTGGATCAGTATATGATGAACATAATGTGCACACTTTGTAAATGATGGTTATGTGGTAGGATGACAATGTACACAGTGTGCACACCACACATTATACACAATAACAATAACATCACCAAAATGGATTGAACATTAAGTGAATATCATTGTAAACACATAATTCATTAAGAACGTAAACAAAAATACACAAAATCAACTCGTAAGAGAAAACATAAGCAAAAAAATCCCTTCATGGTTATTGACCAAATAGTGTTTTGGATATTTAGCACCTGAGAAACCATAGTTTTTGACAGCCGCCCTCTCGAGCTCTACCTCATGTGGCAACGAAGATGGTGGTGCTAACCATAAGGGCGGTGACTGATTGGTTTGAGCTTGGCTCCGAAGGTCAAAAGTACCAGGAGGTCCCGGGTTCAAATCCAAGAAGGAACAAAAATCCCCTTGTGGCCACGGAGGTTCAAATGCGGTGACTCCGGACTATCTGCAAAGCAGGTGATCGTCTTGGGATTAGTCGACTCGCATAGCGGGTTAGATATCTAGGTTAATAAAAAAAATGGTGGTGCTATGAAGCAGCTACAGTTGCATCAATGGAGGTTGACTGAATTTAAAGTACCCTTTAGTTTTGTTTAAAAAATAACATGAATTATCTTGAATTCTTATGTATCTCACAGTTTTTTGAGTTCTCAAATGATTGAATACCTGTATATATTTAATTGATTTTGAAGATGAATTCAATCGATTGAAATGATCGATGAAATCGATGGTAGGTCTGTAAATTATAAAGACGGACTAGGATTTAGGATTTTCAAAAAATAATTAGATAAATATATATATTATATAATAGTTAAAAAACATATGTATATATATATATATATATATATATATCGGGTTTTCGGGCAGGTCAGGTGACCCAAACCCAAATATCCCTATTCATTGGGTTTTGGATTTCAGTGCATTCGGCTTTTTGTACAAACACACTGTTTTTGGTTTGGGTTCGAGTTCGAGTTTGAGACCATTTGGGTTTCGCACACCCCTACCCGTGTCACTGGACGCTGCCATACAGTAATCTATACGATTTACATCGCAACCTAAGTCATATGGCAGGTCTGCAAGACACTATTTTGCACAAAACTACGTTTTTTCTTGCTCGGTTTGGTCCTCATGCGCCATAAGAAGATTATTAAATAAAAACTACATAAAGTTAACAATCTAAATACCAAACGACCATGAATCGACTCGAAACATAATACCCAAAACCACATGTGTCACACATTTCCTCTGGAAATTCATTGATATCTTGGAAGTGTAAGAAACAATCAGTCGTCTCTACACCGAATATCAAGCCATTGTATTTGACTTGTTAGTATCCTTACTAAGCCTTTGCCTTGACCTAGATGGTGCATATTACTTCCAGGTAGGGCCGAGCATCAGAGTGGTCGAGCAGGTTCGTGATCGGATTTAGGGGAAGGTAGGAACTTTCAAGCATACTTCCGATCGGGCCGGGGGAGTTCGGGTAAGACTGTAGTGTAGCCTTTATTACTTGTACTATATGGTAGTTATGAAGTATAATTGTATACTTTTTTGGTTGAGCTTCTTGTCGTCATGTATTATTGTCGATATCAGTTTCTTCGTAATATACTGTCAGAGGTCCTATACTCTTTCGCAAGTGTAGTGGTATAACACATAAACATGTATCACAAATCCCATATTTTCATCAGAATTTTTGTGGGAAAATTCTACAATATACAATAGCTGTACATTATGTGCTTCAGTGAGTGTAACAATAATAAACAGCACTTGTGGTACATCTGCAAAACTTGCTACCTGATTAAGTTTTGGAATATATACTTGCAACACATTCAAACAGACAAATATATTTATCGATGCCACGTGTATAGGAGGATTAGAGTCAGGTTCAACTAACGCGAGTTTGGTGTCATCTTACTTGAAGTTGGGTGCGAAGACGAATCATCTGAAACCTTGGCTAGGGACCGATATTGCAGTTTAATGCTCTCTGCATTATCCAATGTCTTCACCACATACCTGCACACCCGATACATAAAACAGGCTAAACAACCACCAATGACTCTTAACAACATGTATTCAAGTGCATATCAAAACTAACGAATTTCCTGAATCAATGACCATAAGCTAAAACCGAAGATGAAAATAGACGAGTTAAGAAAGAAACAAGACTGACCATCCATTCAAGCACTGAGTTGTGATGACAGCCTCGCAACCAACAAAACGCTCTGGTGTCCTCTTGTTTCCCTGGTTCAATGTTGTTGAATTTAGTAAGCAAGCAAAAACATCCAAGCGTTTTAAACGGGATTTAACAAAAACCTTGATAATAACGCGGTCAGACACAGAAAATGGAAACTGAAGGCCTCTGCCTCTTGGTGTGTCCATGAACATTGAATCACCGTGATTAAGCCTGTCCTGCATCCATATAGATGAATCCTATTATGTTAGTTTACAACAGCATTGTGGGCACAAAGAGCGAGTCAGTTTTATCACTTCTATATAAACCAAATCAATATATCCCACCCGGAGGTGCAGTCTGGTTTTTTTTTTTTTTTTGGGGGGGGGGGGGGGGGCAGACTTGACCTCTACCTAAAGACTAGAGCGACTGTTTCTGTGAAGACCCCCGGCTTTTGTCCCTTCCATATGTGGGATGAAAATACTGGACAGCGAGTCAGTTTTATCACTTCTATATAAACCAAATCAATATATCCCACCCGGAGGTGCAGTCTGGTTTTTTTTTTGGGGGGGGGGGAGTTGATATAAGCAGACTTGACCTCTACCTAAAGACTAGAGCGACTGTTTCTGTGAAGACCCCCGGCTTTTGTCCCTTCCATATGTGGGATGAAAATACTGGACCTGCCTATAACTCTTTTCAGAACAATAAGGATTTGTTTTGGCCAATACCAAATGGACCGATTGGAGAAACACAATTGTCACTTCTGTCTGTGGGACTAATATACTAAACCGGGGATATTACTCTGTAGAACAATAAGAATTTGCTTTGGCTAATACCAAATGAACTGATTGGAGAAACGACTTAGTATTCAAAGGTTTTGGATTGACTTGGAATAAACAAGGGCATATCCGGAGACAAAAAGTAGTCAGGAATGTATTTATGGGTTTGGGATCAGTTTTATAGAATTAAAAAAAAGGATGTCAGTCACACGATGAGACGTGAGTGGAGATGGTGACAAGCATCAGGAAGCTTGTATGATTGAAAGTTCAATTAAAGCTCAAAGTAAGTTCTATAGGATGGTGGTTAGACATGACATGATCACTGGGGTAAAAATGATGGGCTGCCAAAAGACGTGCATACAAGAGTGTAGTTGAAATGGGAATACTGAGGTCGATATGTGGCCATAATGAATGGGATTAGAAATGAAGATATACAAGAGAAACCGCCTGAGAAGAAACCACGGCAACACGATCTGAGGTGGTTTGGTCTTCTCCAAGGTTGTCAATTGAATATGTGGTTAGAAGAAGAAACTTGTAACACCAAGATGACGGGATATTGGTGGCTTAGTGTGGTGGTGCCAGCATGCAGCTATTTAAGAACAAAGTCGACGCATGGAATTTGGGCCAACTATTGCAGAATAAAGCTACTTAGCCACTTATGGAAATGTGGACTGAGGTCAGGATGCGGCACGAAGTGGAGGTTTCGGAAATCAATTTGGCTTCATGCCAGAGAGATCGAGAGCCGAGGCAATTAACGCCCTCAAATGCATTATGAAGAAATATACAGAGTGTAGCAAGGATCTACACACTGTGTTCATACACCTGGAGAAAACCTAGGATAGTGTGCCACAACATCTCATTTGGCAGAGCTTGGCAAAGAAAGGGATACCATGGAGGCATGTCAAGGTAATACAACATCTATACGGGTGTACGAGAACATGCGTCAAAACCCCGGTGGGTGAAACAGAGTATTTTCCAGGTGGATACGACTACACCAAGAATAAGCACCAAGTTCATTCCTTTTGTGGTGATTTGGATGCGATTGCAAAAGGCGTTCAAGGGAGTGTTCCATGGTGCATGTCATTTGTTGACATCATTGAGTTGGTAGTGTAGTCGAGGGTAAAAATGAACCACAGACCAGAGCAGTTGAGACTTTGGAAACATAAAGCATGTGCATTAGTCGGTCCAAAACCGAGTATTTATGGTGTAACTTCAACAAGGAACGTTTTAATGAAGAAAAAAGCATCAACATTCAGGATCAAAGAATACCCTAGACGGACAGGTTCAAGTATCTAGGCTTCATGATTCATGAGAGAGAGGTCAAAGATGATGTAGCACATAAGATAAGCGCGGGGTGGTTGAAGGTTTCAGTGTGATGTGTGACAAAAAAGTCATGCTAAAACTAAAGAGAAATTTCTATAAGGTAACCATCAGATCAGCTATGTTGTATAGGTCGGAGTGTCGGCCGACGAGGAAGGCGTATAAATGGAAGTTGGAAGATTCAAAAATGAGGATGTTAAGGTGGACTTGTAGTCAGACTATGTTGGACAAGATACCAAACAAGGTCTTTCAGGTAGAGTCGGGAGTTGAACCTATCACGTGATAGGTCAATCAAAATAGAAAAGATCGTATTGGTTTGGATATGTGTGTAGAAAACAGATGAGGCACTAATGAGGAAAATAAAAGGACGACTAAGGGAGTAGAGAGGAAGGGTAGACCAATGAAAACACGGGAGGAGCAATTGAGGATGGATATGGCGACCTTAGACTTTTATGAGGACGTGACCTTCAAGAGAAATGCTTGAAGACACAGCACTAGGATTGCAGACTATGTGTGTAGCTTAGGTTATTTAGGTGAGGGTAGAAAGGGAATTTAAAGAAGATGGAGAGCGGTCAAGGGGGAGGGGAGGAGAGATGGCACTTAGATTATTTAGGTTAATAAAGTCATGTGTTAGATAGGAAGGTGGTTTTGTTGTTTTTATCTTTCTACTTTTCATGTTGTATTTAAGCTAATCTTCGCTTTTCATGCTTTTCTTGTGTATGCTCCTTGTTGGTTTTACCTTAAGTCCCTCGTAATGTGTCCCTCCTCCCATCTCTGTTCATTGTACATGTTGCTTGTTTGCAAACACTTCTCCATCTATTTGTCTCACATGTTTCCTTGTTTTTTGTTTTGCAAGTCGGGGGTCTTCAGTCTTCAAAAAACATTCTACCCTCTACACCCAGACCCTAACTCTATGTGAGATATACTGGATTCGTTTGGTTTGGTTTTAAAAAGAAACTTGGGTAATAATGCAGAGAAATTTGAGCAAGGGCTTGTTCTTGGATAGGCATATGTGGAACATAATAATTTATGTCCCTAGAACCCTAGGGGTTCGCTTTTTATGCTTGTTTTTGGGATTCACCTACTTATAGTTTTTTGGCTTGATTTTTAGCCGACTCCAGGATAAAAGGGTTGATTGTTATTGCTGTTGTTCATGATACATTTCCACATTAATTAATATGAAGAAAAAAGACAAACCTGCTCTAATCTCTCTCTTCTTCTTTTAGATGCATGATGAACTTGCAACTCTTCCTCTCTACGAAATGCCAAAACAGCAGACCGCAGAGCTACACAAGTAAACCCATAATTAGATCAACCTAAATATAAAGCATGTCAACAGTAGTGAAAAAGCTACATGGGAACTTCATTCATCTCAGAAGTCAGAACTATCAATGACTAATGTCCACTACATTAACAACTTTGGCCTTTGCCAGTTCAGAAATAAAGAAATGTGCAACATAGTTTCATAATCAGTAGATTCTATCCAGTTATAGGTGATATGGTGCCATCCTATGTTCAATTAATCTAAGTGGTATGATACACATCTACTGTTTTATCACACAGAATTTCTTACTACTAAATTTCAATTTCTATAACTATTAAGCAATAAAAATATGAATTTTGAGCTTTCAATAACTACTTAGGGGATAACCTAGTAAGCGCTTACTAGGTTAGAGTCGCCACCCTCACTTAGGATTCTCGGCCATCAAAATGGCATAAATGCATAGTAAGATTGCTAAGCATCTCTTACCCGGCAAGTGCTAACCAAGTAAGAGTCACCACTCTCACTCTCGGTCCTTGCCATGCTCACCCGATTATGTAAGTGACCCGGTAAGCGCTTACCCGGTTAGCATTTGGTAGATGGCCCCTTAGGCTATTGATTTCTCTAACAAGATAGGAAGAAAAGAGCGTTGGATCCAATAATTTGATGTTTCTTACAATGGTAACACTGTAATATAATGCAGTTGCTAGGTCAATCTTGTTCTTCGGTACCTGTAATTTCTCTCCCTATTTAGATTATTCATGAACGACTCTATTCAAGTTCAATAGCTGGTATCTCAGTTATCACATATAAGAAAGCACACATGTAATCCACTTTACGTTCGCAAAACAAACATAAGAGAAAAAAAACAAGCCGAGGACATTTTTATCGACAACAATTGTGGTGAACTGATGCTGAAATAGAATTGCCCATATGGGCAGAAGTGGATGAAATAATAGGGATGAAGATGTTGGTGCTCAAAACCCCATAACATGTTCAATTGCATTGTATTATTTAAAAAACTAAGACAACCAAGCTGGATTAGCCATAAGATGATAAGAACTTAACAATTGATGAAATTTGGTAAGCAATTAAGAAGGGATTAGCAAAATTCTACCATGGATGGACAAGTGTTCTTACATAGATTGGAAGCCACTGAGCCTTCAGACACGGGGTGTGAACAAGTGCAACATACCTTCTGCAAAATGTGTTGTATGAGAAGAAATTCAGCACATAATTTACAAAAACCCGTGGTCAAATAGTATGATTAGCAGAATAACAATAAATACTACACCGCAAATTTACAAGTTAACTTGCATGACAACACTAAAGAAGATAAGAACGAGAGGGGTGGAGTAAAGAAACAAGGGAAAACAATTGCAAGCGTCTCGGTTTCGTTTAATGAGGGTATGCATCATGAAGCTTTGAAGACAGTATCTCAGCTGACGTGCAAACAATCAATCCAGAAGCAATTTCGAAAGAACCAACAAGAAGCTAAAAGTAATCCAGAAGCAGATAACTGATATTAGTTCTCACATTAACATAAGCAAAATTATTATTAAAAAACATAGAACAAACTCAAGGAAGGCAAACAATTAGTCTGTAGCAAGCAAGAAGCTACCAGTATCAAACAAGAAAACAAAAAAAGTGTACAATGCACCAAAGCATTATATGAACTCCGGTCATAATTGGTTAGAGAGCACACCGAAAGAACTATGTGTGTACACAAACACAGATATAATCCACTCCACACACCTAACCTGTGGGGATTTCTCCCAGTTCATCAGTAGATAATGCTATAGTGGAAAGCTAATCAAGTTTACAACATGTAATACTMGTATCAGAGACCGATGATTTAGAACTATATGAACTCTGGTTATAATTGGTTAGAGAGCACACCAAAAGAACTATGTGTGTACACAAACATAGATATAATCCACTCCACACACCTAACCTGTGGGGATTTCTCCCAGTTCATCAGTAGATAATGCTATAGTGGAAAGCTAATCAAGTTTACAACATGTAATACTMGTATCAGAGACCGATGATTTAAACCTACCATCTTCATAACATGCTGCATTCCATCGCTACCAAAAGAATGCCCACAAGGTAATATCATAGCATCATCCATAAGTGCCCCTCTGCACAAACACAAAACGATGAAGTTGCAACAGTTTGCAAACTGTAAACATCAGCAATAACAGATAACTTCATTTAGAGGATACCAGCACGCTCAACCTTGACCTTCAATTAATGAAATGGCTTCTTTGTTGAATATTTAACTTTTCAAGTACAAGGTACACGTGCAAAACCACCATGACATCAAATCATAGCCGGTCAAGACTCAAGATGTCCCAGTTCTATCCATAGTGTTATCATAGGACAGATTATTAATAGCTTACATATAATGATATAAGCAGTGTCATATAAGACCGTTTCTGGAATTATAAACTTTAAGAAAGAGTAGAATATGGTGTGAAGAAGTACAAATATTCCGGTAAGCAAAGGTTTTTCAATATTAATCAAAGATGCAAGGAACTTCCAAGATCAACAAGCCAGCACAAAAGAAGTCCTTTTGAATCCATCGTCACTAGCATGGCAACAATCCGTACCAACATAGACTCATAACCTACATTGCGATGATACCAAAGGATGCAAGATGTAAATTATGCAGGCAGAATGAAGTTAAGTGTCGTTTGATTTGAGTCCTAATATTCACGCCTAGTTAATATGCCCTTTGTTTGTGTTCATCAAGCACGTATATTTTTTTAACAATCACTTGTTATAACATGTCAAAAAAGTTCCAAAAATATAGCGACCTTTTTACTCCTGAGTTGAAGATGGCATTTATTTAGAGATGGGAGATAAAAAAATCTAGAGAAAATCAGAAACACAGAGAAGGAAAAGAAGGGACGAGTAAAGACGGTTTACTGAGTTACAATGACAACTCGATGAAAATGACAAAATAAATGAATTTGCAGAAGCTCACGTCAAAGGATCTGAGAGTATTGCTCTCAGTGAATCCCCGGATTCACCTGAATATGAAACATCCTTTCTTCCACTAAACCCACAACCATTTGCAACCATCACATCTTTAAGCCCTGCTCCAGAACCCTCAGCTCTGTGAAGATACTGTGAATAGTACAATTCACCATCACGGTCCACAAGAGCAACAGCATTCTGGTACTGTCCCACCTGTCCTTGCTGATGATTCTCACTTGAACTGGGTCTTACACCATTTAAATCATTTCTTGAAGGCACAACACTTCCTACCTTCACTACTTCCCTGCTAGAACCTAACACCCAGAAAAAGAAAATCAAACCATACACAAACCAAACAAATCCTTTCCTTTCAAGGTGAAATCTTGTTGAAAGAAGAGAAAACAAGAAGGGAATAGAGTCCTTATTTCATAATATTTGATAGACTTGCTAGCATGATTTATATTATTATAGACACTCAAGCATTTTATGTAATCCCATGATTAGATATCTGATCTCAGCATGAATGAATTCATATGGTTCCATAATCACTAACACAAGCATACAAAAATCCAGCAAAATTTGATATGAACTTCTGCGATTAAGAAAGCATCTTCACAATTAAACAAGAAACTGATTTCAGAAAGTTGGTTCGATGCATCTAATTGAATTATAGACAAATGAATCTTCATGATCAAAAAAATTAAGTAGACACATGAAATTTGAAATTCAACGTGACAACATTTTCTAGAAAACTTACCAAAAGAAGAAAGATGATTCAGTTTCGCATTCCCATCTTTCTCGCTGCTATGCCCACTAGTATTACTACTGTTATTGTTCTTATTATCGCTACTATTTACAAGCCCTTCCACATCATCATCATTGTCATTACCATCCGATCCATCACCACTAGCAGAATTCGAAGCCCTCCCATTTCCACCATGCCAGTTCTGGAGACCACGGTGGTGGACCGGGCCGGGGTTGTACATGCTCTGCCGGAACTCAGTCGTGCTTTGCGTTTGATAATATCGGTGTTGATGATCAATGAAACCAGTAAGCTCACGGGTGGCTTTACCGTTGTTGCTAGTAGTGCCGGCAGCAGGACGATCAGGTCCTGAGCCGGGCCGTTGGTTGGGTGGGTTGCATACGAAACCTGAATTGGAGTCGTCTTGGAAGAGGAGCTGAGGATGGTTGCTGTCGAGACGGTGTGACAAGACTAACCCAGTCTCTTCAGAAGCCATTTTTAATGGACACCAAAAACCCTAACCCTAATTCTGATTCAAAATTTGCAGGGGTTACAAGATGATCAAATTGAAAATGGGATTAATAATTTGGGAAGAAGTTTGACCCAGTATGCGGAGAAATTGAAAGGGTCACTCCATTTTCGTAGAGATTTAGATTCTTATTTTTCACATGGAGAAGATTAGAGTGGGATTAATGAAGAACAGGTTAAGGGCGTGCTTTTTTTACTCTTAACACCGGTCTGGACCAGCAATCGTTGTTTCTTTTACATGGTAAGCGGTTTGAATAATTTTATTTTGAGTAAATTATGGATTTGGTCCCTCTGGTTTCCATTTTTTGGGATTTGGTCCCCATAACTTTTTTGTTCCAAGATAGGGCCCAGAGTTTGTATTTCCATAACACATTGGTCCCTGCCTTTAACGACTTTTACACCCATCCGTTACATGGTGAGCATTTTGGTCATTTCCCATATTTCTTGTCTTTTAACTATTTTTTAATTAAATTAATATAAAGAAACCAACCCACCTATTTCCCTTAAACACATGACTCGTTTCCATGTTTCTCCTTTGCTGTTGGACACCCTTGCAGAAACTACCTTAAGCTAACCACCAACATTGCATCTCCTCTCTTTACTGTTGATCTCCACCACCCTTAATGTAAACCACCATGGCCTTCTTCCCCATTGTATCCCTCTTTTTATTTGCACCATTTCCCTTACCATGGAACCCCTTTTTTATTCCTCTTTAGGTCTTATATGTCTACTCCCCTGCCTTTACCGATCTCATCTCTATCCCTGCAAACAACCACCCTTCTCCATGGCATCTTCCTCCATCTTTTCCAATTCTCAACACGGTGACCCTATTTTGTAGCTCCCTTTGTTTCCACCATGAACCCCAATTGTGCGCAAATTTGTGAAGCCCTCTCCCCTACGCAAGCACCTCCAGGAACCCCCATTGTGCAAAGTCTGTTTTTCTCATGGTTTTGATTTGATTATGCTTTTGTGGACATCATTTAATTCCATAAAACTACTAACGCCTAGAAGCTTTCAAAACAATAAGACTTGGTTGGTTGCAATCCATATGCTTTCCATTAAGCTCCTCGAAGCAGACTGCAAAGGCCATTGAATTCTCTATGATGTTTTTTGTTATCCTATACCCACCAAAGCATGATACAACATTCGAAGAGCTTGTTGTTCTATATCTCTCTTCTCTTCCATGAAGGGTAAAAATCTTACCAAGGATAGCCACGTCCTTTGGAATCTCTTCATTCCCCTTATGACTTTCTTCAGAGCATTCTATGATCTATCACCTACAGATAGTGAATGAATTCCTCAAACTCAAGTTCCATCTTATTTACACATTTTATGCCACCAAACTTTATGTTAGATTCAATTGTGCGTTGCACCTCACCCTATAGACCTAGTCCCACTATCCACACTTCATCCCCCCTCTTGAATAACGCATTCCACTTATCATTCATTTCTATAATCAAACCACCTACTTGCACAAGAATACATGATGTTGGCATTCTTCTCACCTCTTCACCCACATAAATTGTTTTGGAAACAAGCCTATGAATACCGTCATTAACCAACATAAAATAATCTCCAACGTCAACTTCAGTTGTCGGGCTATAATACTCATTGTGATTTCCAGAAAAGGTTATTTCTCCATGCCTATAGTTGACTTGGTGAAGTTTCCACAAACAAAGATAACCCAATCCTCTAGAGTGAAAATACATGCCAAATATATTTAGGCCATTTAAAGTGTTGTTTGATGAATGGTGGTGTACAACATCCCTGAGAACAAATCGGTCCCAACTCCCAACCTTTATCAACCATAGATTTAAGATCATCTAGAGCACCAACATGGTTTTCCATGAGTTTTTCTATGGAAACCCCATTGTCATCAATCATGTCCCCATTTTTCTGCCCACTCAAGGTCCCTAACAATTTCCACTTTTTCTGTGCTGCTAAACCCACTATAAAAATTAAAAACTCATTTATATTTGCCAAAAAAAACACTAAGTTGCTCATAAGATTGACAATCTCTTGCTTGACTGAAAACCTCATTTCCATCAATCTTTGAGTTATAGCCTAGTATTGCGTGACCACGAGGAGGAGAATTTCAAGAAAAAGGTTGTTGGCTTGATGAATACCATGATGACATCGTACTACGCCCTTCATATTGAGTTTTTGTTGGGGGTGTAACACCAAAAGCATAAATATTTATAGGAGATACACTCGCAGAGAACGTCTTTAGAGTTTCAGTTGGACTTACACGTGCTCTGATAAACAGTGTCATAGAAAACCTTTGACCAGTTTGCTTTGAGGTGTCATCAAACATGTTTCCACCATCTATAGAGCCACTAAAAGAACGATAACTTCTATAACCACTTGTCTCATTGTCAATCATATATTCGGCCTTCGGATTCAATTGAATCATCACATGTGGTAGGTACAGTAACAATGGTGGTGGTAGTAGCGGCAACATTGGTGGTGGTGGTGGTAGCAAAGACTGCAATAGTCTCCAATAATAATCGCCTAAACTCTCTCCACTGTACGCTATAAATAACATGAAGTATGTGGAGAAGTTGGATGTCCTTTTTACGTTTGACACATGTTTGGGCCAAATTGAAAAAACCTTAATTAGGTTTGGGCCAAATTAAAATATTTTCCGTAGGTGTGGGCCATAATAGGACCCTAAAATCAAAGCCAACCGCCTTTTGAATATGATTACCAACAACTGTTACCTTTTCTAGGGTTGATGGTAACAAAAGCACCAATGACAAGACTTGTCAGTGATGGTGAAGAGAGTGGTGATAGTGGAGATATCGATGGTGGAAAGGGTAGTGTGGACGGCGACAATGTCTTGTAATGGTTGTCGCCTAATCCCACCCCTTTTTGGTGATATCGATCTTTGCTTTATGTTTTTATCTCTCTTTTATTCTTCCTCTTTATATTTTATGCTTTCTCTTCCCATATTTTATTCTCCACATTATCCATTTTTCGGTTTTAGGGTTACAAATTGCTCCCTCATATCAAATTTTGCCTTCGATTGAAACTGTCTCAATAACATCATTTTAAGTTCCTCCCAACATGAAACATGTCTCCTTCTAGGCTCCCATTTTAACCATCGCAGGTCAACCCCTTCGAAGGCAATAAAAGCAAACATAATTTGTTCCTCTTTAGTCAAATGGTAGATAGAAAAATACCTTTCAACACATGGAATCCACCCTTCCATGTCATTTTCGTCGAACAGTGGTATCTCCAATCGACACGCTATGAATGCCACAAATCAATTAGACTCCAACGCCCCTTCCTCACGTTCTGTTGAGAGTTGTCCTGCTGTTGGCATCTCGTCTTTCTCCTCACAGTGCAAATATTTTGGCCTACGTGATGTTTCCTCTTGTAATTTAATCAACAGATCAAGTTGTTTCATCATAGTTTGAATGTCTTCTTTCAAACACTTGAAACTTCCTTTGATTTCTTCCACACGTGAGGTGTTAGCTAGAATCATATTCCCATAATTGATACCACTCTGATACCAACTGATACACACTCAAATGATAACAAAATGAAATTGATATTGCAACTGAATGATTAATGGTTTCCAACAATTTGAGAAGTTGGGGTCTCTATAGGCTCATGCCAAAACAATGTTTACAAATCAGATACCCTCTCCAAAGCCCCCTCACACCTATTTAACAAATTACTCCTGCTACTTTTCCTTTTTTACTCTTTGTAACAGAATACTGTCAATTCCAAAATTGCATCTATTGATTACTGTGATTACATCCTCATTAAAACAACTACCCATCCTACCCTTTTACTCCTTCTAGCCAACGTAACTAATAGGATTCCTCCAGGGTATATCAATCTATACTGTATTATAAGGCAGTCAGGTTTTTCTTTTTTATAAAAACTTGTAATTTTTCAAGGGTACAAATTATAAAACATTAAATATAGATTATTAATGCTCATAAAATCTTTGGTTTCTATAATATTTGTATCTTGCCCTTCTTAAAATTTACAAGAATTTTGGAAACTTTTACTGCTTTTCTCAAATATAAAGTCAATCAAACAAATAAAGAAAATAATATTTGAATTTTTTTGGAAACTGTAACCCACAATTGGTCCATTTCCAAAAAATAAGAAAGAATTTAAAACAGATTCAGTTTTCAGTTTACAATTAAATTTTACTCACATGACAAATTTTCGTTCACTTAGACATGTAACGTTTTCACGATTCAGTTAGTAGAGAAAATGTGAACTCAACTGCATGATATGGATATCTTGGTACCTGAACCAAGACTTAACCAGAGGTTAAACCAAATATAATTAGATGGTTATCCAAAGGTCAAAAGTGTCTGGAGGTCCCATGTTCAAATTCAAGGAGAAATAAAAATCCCTTGTGGCCACGTAGGTTCAAATACGGAGACTTTGGGCCACCCGCAAAGCAGGTGGTCGCCTGGGATTAGTTAGCTCGCATAGCGGGTTGGATATCCGGGTTAATAAAAAAAAAACTGATGCTTTAAAAAATAACAGTCGCGATATAAAAATAATAATTTAACATTTAAACCAATCACACAACAACTAAATAAAAATAATCCAAATATTAAAAATTAAAAATGAGTTTAACTGTTTATAATTATAAATTCCCATTTTGCGGTTGATGTCACTCATTCACAACTTCATATCATCAAACTTAGATGTTGTTTACTAAACAATTACCGCGTCATTTACCTTACAGAATGAATATGACAAGAATCGAAAATCTTACCCAGTAAGAACAAGCAGAGACGAGTCGAGAATTTTTTTTTCAATTAGTGGCACCATTTGACTGTAAGAAACAAATATATATAAAAAAAAAATTGTGGCACCATTTGACTAAGAAATGACATTAACAAGATTCGAACTCAAGTCTGGGGGGTGGAATAAAAGCTTTGCAAACCAACTCTACAAAAAAAACTTATTCACATTAGAGTTACAAAATATATACGGTGGCATACAACAAATTAATATGGTTGCACCTTTCACGAACCTAATCTTTTTTACCCTTCGACGGATAAATAATACGGTGGTACGTGCCACCGTTGGCACCATTGTAGGTCCGTCTATGAGAACGATGACAATTATGAGCGAGAGCATTATTAGGTAAGTGAGGGTGACAGATCTTACCCAGTCAGCTCTTACGAGGTACATTGTTGCATACGGTGTCGTTTTGACAAACCAGATAC